AATATTATCCTTTTGTGATTGACTTATTTCACTCAGCATAATGTCCTCCAGTTTCATCCATGTTATGAGATGCTTCACAGATTCATCATTGTTCTTTATCGTTGCGTAGTACTCCATTGTGTATCATAGTTTGTTTATCCATTCATCTGTTGATGGGCATCTAAGTCGTTTCCATCTTTTTGCTATGGTGAACAATGCTGCAGTGAACATGGGTGTGCATATGTCTGTTTGTGTGACGGCTCCTATTTCTCTAGGATATATTCCTAGGAGTGGGATTTCTGGATCGTATGGTATTTCTATTTCTAGCTTTCTAAGGAAATGCCATATCATTTTCCAAAATGGTTGTATCATGCATTCCCACCAGCAGTGCATAAGAGTTCCGATCTCCCCACAGCCTCTCCAGCATTTGTTATTCTCAGTGTTTTTGATTTGTGCCAGTAATGGCGGGGTGAGATGGTATCTCATTAATTTGTATTTCTCTAATGGCTAGAGATTGCGAGCATTTCGTCATGTGTCTGTTGGCTGCCTGAATGACTTCTTTGGTGAAGTGTCTGTTCATTTCCTTTGCCCATTTTTTAGTAAGATTATTTGTCTTTTTGTTGTAGAGGTGTTGGATTTTCTTGTAGATTATAGAGATTAGACCTTTGTCTGACTTGTAATGCCCAGAAATTTTTTCCCAGTCTCTAGGTTCTCTTTTTACTCTTTTGGGAAGTCTTTTGAAGAGCATAGGTGTTTCATTTTTAGAAGATCTCAGTTATCTAGCTATCTTCTGGAGTTTGTATGTTGATAGTTATGGTTTGTATCCTGTTAATGCCATGTATTAGGGCCTCTAGCATTGATCCTGTTTTTTCTTCTATGAACTTTATAGTTGTGAACTTTGTATTTAGGTCTTTGATCCATTTTGAATTGGTTTATATGGTGTGAGGTATGGGTCCTGTTTCATTTTTTTGCAGATGGACATCCAGTTTTGCCAGCACCATTTGTTAAAAAGACTGTCTTTTCCCCATCTGATGGATTTTGGGCCCTTGTTGAAGATCGGGTGACCGTAGGTGGATGGATTTACATGCAGGTTCTCAATTCTGTTCCATTCGTCAGTGTATCCGTTATTGTACCAGTACCAGGCTGTTTTGACTACCATAGCTGTATAGTAGGTTCTGAAGTCAGGTAGCGCGAGTCCTCCTACTTTAGTCTTTTTCTTCAGTAGTGCTTTACTTATTCGAGGCTTTTTCCCTCTCCATATAAAGTTAATGATTAAGTTTTTCCAATCTCTTTATAAGAATGTTGTTGGTATTTGGACTGGGATTGCATTGTATTTGTAGATTTCTTTGAGTAGAATTGACATTTTCACAATATTGAGTCTATCTATCCATGAGCGTGGTATGTTTTTCCATTTATGTAGATCCCTTTGGGTTTCTTGCAGTAGTGTTTTGTAGTTTTCCTGGTATAGGTCTTTTACACCCCTGGTTAGATTTATTCCTAAGTATTTTATTTTTTTAGGGGCAATTATAAATGGTATTGTTTTCCTGATTTCATCGTTCTCTTTATTGGCATATAGGAATCCAACTGATTTTTGTATGTTCATCTTGTATTCTGTGACTCTGCTGAATCATTTTATTAGTTCCAGTAGTTTTCTTGTGGAGTCTTTAGGGTTTTCTATGTATAGTATATCATCCGCAAACAGGGACATTTTAAGTTCTTCATTACCAATTTGGATGCCCTTTATTTCTTTTTCTTGCCTTATTGCTCTAGCTAGACTTTACAGCACAATGTTAAGTAGGAATGGTGATAAAGGGCATCCTTGTCTTGTTCCTGTTCTCAAGGGGAATGTTTTCAGCCTCTCTCCATTTAGAATGATGTTGGCTGTTGGTTTTGTATAGATGCCCTTTATTATGTTGAGAAATTTCCCTTCTATA